ATCTTCCTTGTTTCATAGCTGTTGACGACATAATGGTTTATGGTAAAACGCAGGCGGAGCATGATACCAACCTGGAGCAAATACTTCAGAGAGCACGTGAAGTAAACTTAAAGCTCAATCTATCAAATTGTAAATTCCGCGTAAGCGAAGTAACATACTTAGGTCATATCTTCTCGAAAGATGGCATAAAGCAATCATCAACATGCCTACACCCACCGACATAACAGCAATCCAGCGTTTCCTCGGAATGGTTAACTATCTAGCTAAATACATACCAGGCCTAAGCGACATAGTGACGCCGCTCAGAGAGTTAACAAAGAAAGAAATCGCATGGCATTGGCATGACCAGCACGAACACGCATATACACAAATCAAGCAAATGATCGCTGCCGCCCCAACTCTTCGATATTTTGATATACGCAAACCAGTGACGCTGACTTACGTCGCTTCCACATTTGATCTAGGTTGTGCCTGAAAATGGCCCCATTGCCTATGCATCGAGAACAATGTCGACAGCAGAGCAGCGATACAGCCAGATCGAAAAAGAACTTCTTGCTGTTGTTTTTGCCTGAAACACATTTAGAGACTATATATGGTCAACCAGTCACTGTCGAAACGGACCACAAACCGCTTATTACAATATTGAAGAAACCTATAAACCTATGCACGCCATTCCAGCACGAATGACAAACCATTCGTGTTCAAACAGCCTCTGGATACAATCAACTTGGTACAGTTGTGCAGCGCAGCAACTATCCGCGTTCATACATAGTAAATGTTGAAGGAAGTAACTACCGGTGCAAACGCAGACACATATTACCAGTCTCCAGGCCCGTAGCCAGGTTCTTCCAAGAGGGAGTTTTCTGGGCGTGAGGTCCACAGTCGAAGCCCCGGTGGGATCGGCGAAACCCCCTAAGCAAGAGGATTTTTGTGCTTTAAGGGTCTAAATAATGCTATAAATGCAGATATGTTTGAAAATGTCTATGTCTGGGTGGGCTGCAGTGCATTAGTTGGGTTGGAGGACTTATTTTGGAAGTTTTTCGGAGGGGATTTCACCAGAAAAGAGGGGGATTTGTTAGAAAAGGGGGTTCTCCCGAACCATCAACCCCACCCCCCCCCTTCTACTGGATACGGTCTTGGTCTCAGAACGCAAACTTGGTCGACAAACGCTCACAATTCCACAACCGGACGCCATCCCTGACTATGATATTGAACCACTACCACCCACCCCGCAACAACCTACTACTGGTATGGTAACCACACGCAGTGGTAGAATTTCACGTCCCCCACCAAGATTTGACTTATGAACACTGGACATCTATAATGAACTCTATAAACTCATCACTGACACTGTCTACAGCACTTTCGAGTTTATTATTGTTTAAAAAAAAAGTTAAGTTTTGTGATTCCATCTAGGAATTGGGTCCCAAAGGTGTGGTGATCTACTAAGCCAAGCAGTTTGGTTTACTTGTTTTTTTTTGTTATTGTTTAGGGTTGAACATTTAAAGTTTAAAGTTATATAGTGGGGATTGTATTATTCAGAAGATAATTCACAGTATCTAGAAAAATGAGGATGTTGATAATTAATATTATCATACCGCCCTCTCTAGTTTTAAAATAAAGGAAAACACACACGACACTTTAAGCTGTCTCTCTTCATTCAGTGAAGACCGCACGCAACTACTAGATTCTATTTAGTGCATGGTTGGCTGGGTTGTTTTGGTGGGGAAAGAGAAATTTTTTCGGTAAATTGATTCTCGAACGAGAACGAAAGCTCTAATGACTCAAGCACACAAGAAAGTGGCGCAGTCAATCTTAAACTAATGAACAAAGAGGAAAACAACAACTAAATATAAATATAAATATGAATATCGACGTTTGTTTCTAAACCATTGCTCAGTGAAATGGTACTTGAAACAAAGACACTATTATAAGATGTTGCCCTTAGGTCAAGCATCTCTAGTAAAGGGTACTTGCTACATTTGGTGGCTACAATGTCTGCCAGATGGATTATTTTTGTATGGGTTTGCATTCTTCCAGTCACCTGTATGGTAGTGTGGAAATGTAAAAACCGAAGCCTCCAGCTGGATGATTAGCCATGTCGTGTTATGTGTTATAACCACTAGACCACCAAGCTTGCACTTAGTGACTAGTGCTGAATCCGATCCCCAAGTAGCAGCGGGTACTGAAAATGATATTTTGACGTGTGTTTGCGTCAGGAAAATATCATAGGAGTGATGTTTTGCCCTACCTTGAGTTTTATCATAATTTAATAATGATGATGACAGCTTCGGTATAATTATACCAAATTATACCGAAAATAACTATATGGATATTGACGATTTCAAAAGCAAACATTGCGATGACTTGTGCGACTCCGGTTATTTTTCAATCTTTTCTCTAAATTGCAGAAGCATTATAAGAAAATTTGACAAATTAACAAATTATTTATCTCGATTCGAATACGAATTTTCGATAATTGGATTGACTGAGACATGGCTCTCTAGTAAACACCTCACTGGATTATATCAATTGAATAATTATACAGCTATATATAACAATAGGGATAACAAAGGAGGTGGTAGTGTTGCCCTATATACCAAATCCAATTTATCATATCGACTAAGAAATGACTTATCCCAGATATTACATGTTGCTGAGAGTATTATTATTATTGAACTTGATATAGACAATAGGACAATTATTTGTGGTATCATATATAGACAACCTAAATCTGATATCCCTACGTTTAACACTCAAATGAGCGAGCTCATGCATAAATGTAACAACGAAAACAAACAACCTATCTTATGGGTGACTATAATATTGACCTAAATATGTATAATAGTAACTACAGGCCTATTTCTATATTGTCATGTATGTCAAAAATGTATGAACGAATTGTCTATGACCAAACGGTTTCTTTCTTAAATAAGTATAAAATCCTGAATGAAACACAATACGGCTTTAGAGAAGGACACTCTACAAATCACGCCCTCATTCAGACGATTGAGAAAATAACAACGGCAATTGACAACCAATTATTTGTTGTTGGAGTCTTTCTCGACCTATCTAAGGCGTTTAATTCGATAGATCACAAAGTTCTTCTACAAAATCTACCTTATTGTGGCATCAGAGGTCTTGTACTTAAATGGTTTTGTAGTTATTTAAGTGGAAGAGAACAATCTGTAGCTTTAGATAATATACAGTCTGATAGAAAGTTGGTAAAGTATGGAGTTCCCCAGGGATCTATCCTGGGTATCACTCTTGATGAAAAAATTAATTTTTCTCAACATGTAAATGTTATTGCTAGTAAGGTGTCTGCAATTATTGGAGCAATGAATCTCCTTAAATTCTGCTACCATATCACATACTGCTTACTATTTATATGTCGCTTGTCCTTCCTATTATAACGTATGGGATCACGATATGGGGTTCTGGTAGCATGACAAACTTAAATAGAATCCATGTATTACAGAAGAAAGCACTTAGAATCGTATGTAATGTACATTATCTACACCCATCTTCTCAAATTTTTGTTAAAACCAATACTTTAAACATATTTGATTTATACGAAAAAAATGTAGCCAACTTAATGTTTTTTATATGATAAGGGTTTACTACCAGAATCTTTTGATTTGTTGTTCCGTACACTTGACTCGTACCATAATCATAATACACGATATAAGCAAAACCTTGTTATCGACTTAAAACGCACAAATGTTGGCCGACAAGGAATCTCGTATATAGGGCCTAAGGTGTGGAACAACATATCAAGCAATGTAAGAGCATGTGCTAATATTTCACTATTTAAGAACAAAATGAATAATATTTATCATGAAAATTATAAGATGAAACAGTACCACTGCCAGGACGGGAACAATTGTATTATTTGTAGAGAAATTCGTCAATAATAGTCAATGATGTTTAAGTGCAATTTATATGTTGCTTTATTGCTGCTATTTAATTTAATTGTTTATATAATTTTACAGTGTTTAAATTGCCTTTAAAGACCGACATATTATTTATATTTTATCATTATTATTATTATTATTATTTATTATTTATTATTTTATTTTTATTTTATTTTTCTTTTCTTTGCTATTCTTCTTCTTCTTCTTCTTCTTCTTCTTCTTCTTATTATTATTATTGTCTTGATCTATGATATGAAAGTGCTTTAATTAAAATGTATACCTTGAATTACTTTGTCAATTTGAAATAGTATTTTAATTACTTTTTTTTCGGGCGCCACTATTGTAAAGCTCTGCTTGTTTGTGGTTGCCCTTTCCATTTCCTTTTTTATATCTGTACTTTTTATATATGCTTTGAAAAGATTTGGAATAAATTTATTTTGAATTGAATTGAATTATCGCACTACGTACTCAGTACGTTACCAAATACTTGCGGGAAATAAATCGGAAGTGATTCGGACACCAATCTACCTATCTAGGGGTCGTGGGTTCGATTCCCAACCAAATCACTTGCGATTCTTTTGCACTCTAGTATTTAAAATTATCCAATGTGTTACCTAGTGAAAACCGGAGATGTGTTTTGTTTTTCAATATTCATGACAGTTTTAATTTTTGCATGTTAATCAAGATATTTTTTTAGCATATTATATTATTGTCTGTATGTATTAATAAATAAAATAAAATGAAATTGATTCTGTTCTCACAGGGATGTGATGCTCAAACCACATAAATGTTATAACTGGTACACATTTTATATACTTTTTCACCTGAAAATTGTATGTGGTATAGTCTTGCTGAACCATTAAACAATGACAGCACATGATGAAATATTTTTACATATCGACACGTTATAACCAGTGCTCTTTTTTTGGGATAATTTTCAATTTTAATTAAAGTCTCTGCTAATTAGATTTGCCTTTAGATCTGAGATCGATCTACCTAGGTATTCTATACACTATCATATACACTGATTCAAAGTTTACAAATCTGTTCACATACATTATACACCTTTCGAAAATATACTTTTACCTCATTGGCTTGTGAAGTTGGATTCCATGTAAAAATTGCTCCTCTAAAATGAGTAGCACTTGAAAATGAGCATAATCCGATGAACAGCAACACACCGAGAATACTAGAGGATATAGTTGTCACCATTTTTAAGTGGGTATTAGTCTTCTTGTTCGTGGTCGTTCGCTGTTCAATCCTACTTAAACTCTCATATTATGACCTCAAGCTGTCTAAGGAAAAGAGAATATATATGGACTATATACAATAGAGTTACACAAATCACGAGTTTGGGGGCGTTCTTAATCTCTTTGTGATTGTATTGTTCCTCTTTATGACGCCAATGGTTAGCGAGTACGATTGGTTTAAAATTTGACAGACAGAATGAAAAATAACAAGAAAACTTTTTTCTCCTTTTTGTCTTTACTCTGTATTCAATCTAAATTACCAACAAACTCTGTAATTTACTTGCAATTGCAGCTGAAATCTTCATTTATTCCATTTACCTTGGTGTAGATTTGAACGTATATATTGACTGTAAGTGTCAATAGGTGTCGATATTTAATATTGACAACCAAAAAGTAAAGAAAACCACCTAGGGTAGCCTTCCAGTTTAATTTCAGGTCAAAGATGTCTAAGGTAGTATATTATTTTTTAAATGCTAATTTCGAATCAATTTATACTTTTAACATTCAAATATACGCCTGTTTTACTGTAAAACTATAGGATAAGCAATTTTATTAAAATTGTTATCAAAGTTAAGCTAATACTAATTTTAAAAAAAATCAAAATGCTCATTATGACACTTATATTATTTACAATTATTAGTTTGCTGCAACTAGTGTTACAGTATATATATATATATATAAATATATATGTAAATGTATACTAGAACATAGAGGGCACTCGAGCCAGAAGACATGACACTGGGATTGTAATAAATAAACTTACAATGTGTTGAACAACTAGAACAACTAGAGAAAGGTTTTAAATGCGAATGGGGGATGGTCTAAATAGAGTTAAAAAGATGGCATTTCAGTTTTAACTTAAATAAATCAATGGTGGGAGACAGTTTAATATAGAGTGACATTCATTCCACAGCGATGAAGCAGCATTAGGCGAATGTTCTTTTGCCGTATGTTTTTGTTTTATATTTTGGGATTACGAGATTTTTGTTTACAGAGCGGAGTCCTCGGTTTGGGACCTATAAATTAAGAAGGCGAAAAAGATAAGAGGGTTGTTTAGATTGAAGAACCTTAAAACAAATGATAAGAACCTTAAAACGTTGTCGGAGAGGTAGCCAATGTAGATTTCGAATGATGGGTGTAATATGTAAACGTCTCTTGGTGAGAGAGCACACTCGGGCAGCAGAATTTTGAATTCTCTGTAACCGGTTGATAGAAAAAAAAAAAGGTAAGCCAACGAATAGAGAATTAAGTGATCACGTTTTGAAGAAATAAATGCAAGTGTTTCAGAAGATTTAGAATTTAAGTATTTATTGATATACATACTACATACATACATAAGTATCTATTGATATGCTGATTAAAAGAAAGAAACTCATCTATAACAAGCCTAAGTTCCTAACAGATGAGGATGGTTTAATTTCAATTGACCCGAAAATCAAAGCGGAGAAGGTTGGTCTTGGGATAATAAATCGTGAAATTAAAACAATAAATTTAGTTTTTAAAAGGATTAATCTAAGCATGGTTTGAGAGAGCCAGGTTCCAATGTTAGATATGCAACTTTGAATTGTGTTGATGATGCTTACATATGAAAGTATAAACGGACCCTTGTGGAACACCACACTGTAACATTTTAAGAGAGGAAACAGAGGCGAGAATGTCTACGTACTGTTGGCGAGAGCCAAGGTATGACGAGAACCAAGTGAGAACAATATCAGTGAAGCCATATTGAATAGACAAGCGGTTAAGAAGAATGGAGTGGTTGATTGTGTCGAAAGCTGCTAATAGGTCTAAAAGCACAGGTACGAGTCACCTAAATCTACAAAATAGAGAATATCATTTGTCAATTTATTAATGGCTGTTTCAGTACTATGAGCAGGTTTATTATGCAGACTGGTTTACTTCACCAAGGTTATTTTCATTTATGTAAGTATTAATTAGTGAAACATCACATTTTTCAATACATTTTGAAATAAAAGGTAGATTTGATATAGGACGGAAATTGCTAAGAGTATCTTTGTCCAGATTAGCCTTATTGATTAAAGGTCTAACAGAGGCAAATTTATAGGACTGAGGAAAAATAACAGAAGACAAAGATTTGTTAATAATCGTCATGATAAATGGAGCAAGTACACCCAAACATGCCTTTAGAAGATGAGGTGGTAATGGATCTAAAGAAAATGTTGAGTTTGAGGAAGAATTAAGTAATTTTAAAATTTCATCATAACTTATAGGTGAAAATTTTTTGATGAAGAAGTACATTGTACATCATGACTACCAGCAGTAAAATAAAGAAACGTACATGAGTACGCAAGTACTTGCAGAATAAATGACCATTGAAAATCTAGGCTGACCGTCGCATTCAGGATGGCTGACGCTCTGGATGCAAAAATTATTATACCTAGGTGCGAGACCAAACCCTGATGGACTAGTTAAGCTCCGGACAGAATCACCAAACGACCCAGAATCTTGAAGCGAATATTTAGAGAGTTGTGCAGTCATCGCACAAACATCATTCTGGAAAGATACTGATTTAATTCAAGAATACAACAAGAGGGAGAGTCATTTTAGACATTCATGTCTAATGTGAGAAACAGTAGAACTTTGTGAGCATAGAAATTTTTAAAACCAGTTACTGGCTAGTAATAGGCATCAGGAAAGAAAATTTCACCAAAATATTGTTTAGAGAAAGTGAATTAACACTGGCCAACACAATAACAGATTTGTCAAATTCATAAGCTGTCTGAGGTTGACGCTAAACTAATTAAACCAGAGGCGAAAGAAACAATAGATTATATAACAGGAAGACCACATTTTAAAAAGGGAAATTATAAAGGACACGAAAATGCTGTCAGTAGAAAACAAACAAAATTTATGCTTACAGTGCGAAAAAAAAGAACAGTTTTTAGCAATGTCAAAAGTTTGGATACAAACATAAAAGTGTTGGGAACACATGCCCAGCATATGGGAAACAATGTAATAAATGTAACAATTGGAATCATGTTGCATCAGTCTGTTCATCCCCTGGTGTAAATTGTCCATGCCCAAGACCGGTGAATGGAATTGACAAGGTGGAGGAAGAGTTAGAAAACTTCGATATTGAATAGGTACATACAGAAGGGAATGAAGACACCACACTGATCTGATGATTGATAAGAAAAAAACAAGATTAAAAGTTGATACAAGTGTTAATATTAAGTGATGAGTAAAACAACATTGAAATACCTCAATAAAGAAGAATGCCTTGATTTATAAAAACAAGTTAGGTTTGTTGGATTTGGAGGCCAAGTCATTAGATCTTTGGGAAGTGCAACATTAATTTTTGAGCAGTCAGATAGGAAATTTGATATGGAATTCCAAGTTGTAGACAAAGAAGTATCAACATTTATGGGCTTGAAAGATAGTCTGCGTTTAGACTTGATTTCATTCAGCACAGAGGTATTTGAACTAGCATTTACTAAAACAGAACCTGAAGGTATACTGAAAGAATATGAAAACTTATTCGATGACAAGGTCGGCAAATTGCCAGTAATATATAAAACAACACTAGATCCTGAAATAAAACTTGTAGTCAGGCCTGTAAGACCAGTACCAATAGCAATAATAATAATAATAATAATAATAATAATAATAATAATAATAATAATAATAAAATGAAATCAAAGCTAGAAGAAATGGTATCAGAAGAAATAATATTACTCAGGTCACTGATCCAACAGGTTGGGTCTCAGCTATGGTCATTACCACAAAGAAGAATACCCGAGATTTGAGAATATGTTTAGATCCTGGAGATCTAAACTGTGCATTAACGTGATCGCATTATCCAATGCGTACAATTGAAAAAATTATACAGAATATGCAAAAGCAAGGTACTTCACATTATTGGTTGCCAAGAGCGCTTTTTATCATATAGAGTTGGATGAAGAGTCATCGAAGTTTATCAATAAGCTATCGATCATTTACCTTGTGAAGTAATCATGGATAATATACTAGTAGCTGGTAGTACAGAGGAATTACATAATGCAGGTCTTAAGAATGTTCTTGAAAAGAACAGATACGATCAAATGGCAGATTACATCCAGACCCTGCAAAAGTGAAGGCAATCACTAAAATACAGGGAACATCCATCACAAGTGACCTGCAAGATTTTTGGGAATTGTAAAGTACCTCACTGGAGTGAGAAAGTAAATTCTCTCAATGATTTATTGAGGAAAGATCATGAATGGCAGTGGTTCAAACACCAACCGACAGCTTTTTAAGAAATTAAGAACAGCATAGCAACTGCAACGACATTAACTATTGTGATGTACAAAAAGAAGTTACATTGACATGAGATGCATCCAAGAGTGGAGTAGCATGCTTACAAGAAGGCAAACCGGTGGTTTTTGCATTTCGAGCATTAATTGAAGCAAGCGGGCATCTTCTACATACAAAACAAGCGGATATTTTCGTGACGGTACGGACGTAATTATATAAAAAAAAATAAATAAATGTTAAAACTTTTACTTTACCAATTTCCTTATGTAAGGTAAGATACATAAAGACACATTACGCAGTTTAAATGTTTGCATGGTATGCGTACATAAGGCTACAATAGGCTAGTAATTTGGCCACCCTACCCTCAGCTGTACAGGGCTAGGCCTAGCCGGGTCTCGACACTATGTAAAATGCCTGAATTGAAGAAACACATTAAATCCTTAGTACAGTTTACACATAATTTATAAGCACATATATATTCTATAATAAAAAATAAAATTAAAATTAAGAGTATTTTTTTGTCAAGTTCGGAAATAAAAGTATATGTACACACAATCTAATTGACATATTTTCGTATCATAGGAGGTTGAGATACATGAAAATTCGTATATAGAGATGCAGGTTACCCACTGGATTGGATTGGATTTATTTGGTGATAAACACCAAGGATAGCCCACGAAAGTCTGGAAGAAGACTTATTTCCAGTGGGGTCCTTGGGGTGGTAATTGGGCAGTACACCGGAAGACAACCCATTACTCTTTTCCGAAGAGTGTACTGTGTTCTTTAACGTG